TATAGATCAGCTGTTTCATCATTACAGACAGTAATTCGTGGAGCAGTACTTTTGGCTGTATTCCTCCCATACCTGTTGACGATCTCCCTTTACTCATTACAAATTAACACTAGTTGTTTTCTAGTACCAGTGATATATTATTTAAAGAAATTGCATTAACAACTATACATGCGTTAAACGCACACCGGAGGCGTAGAGCGTTCGTTTGATTTTATTTAAAGCTCGAATAGAAACTCCTTTAATCCACGACGGCCATTATGAATAATTCATTATAGAATTTTGTTGAAATAATTACTTCGAGAAAAACTCTACACTTTTTCTTTTGTATATCCGTAAGCTGGAGACCACTGTTACGAAGGAATAGAATTTAGTGAAGCAAAAAAATTCGAAATAAGCAGAGGTCCATATTATTGTGTCCTTGAATATAAATTTTGTTTTGGATTACAAGGTCTAGAAACAAAAGAGCTATGAGTAGATTTCTATTGCTGTTTCTTGTAGCCTTCAGGTAGAGCTATAATGTTGAATTTTTGGTACTGTCCTTTGCTGTAAATATACGAACTTGGTCCCTATCATAGCTCTTCTTCTATTGTATTGTAACACTGTAAGAGTGAGGATCTGGATCAGCATACATTATACTTATACTTATGCCTAGACTTATTTCAATATATTTTTTCTATTACAAATTCATCCACTCGTTCTTCCATCAGTAAACCTCAATAAATTTGAATCGATATAACGATAGTCGAATATTAAAAAATTTGGAATATAAATCACCCGCGTGACTTTCTGCGCACAAAGATTCCTTTATTGACTGTAGCAAAACTCGTCAAAGGAAGAACGTGCTACCCTTATTTCTGCTAAATGAAATTTCAGATACGGTTGACTTTACGACAGCATGGGGGAATGTTGTAAGTTGCAGACAATTTTCTACTCTATAGGTGCTCCCCCCATTATCACACCCCTCTGTCCCTTCTTGTTCTCTCCCACCTAGTAACTACACCTCTTAGCTGCATATCTATGATCCATCTCTTTTCCCCGTCATTTTTTCTAGCAGCGATAAAAGGTGATCACAGGGTAGGAAATTGCCCGCAATTTACGATGAATTTCACGAAAGTCGTGCTTGCACAAATTCGTATATAATCTCCTCGTTTACGTTCATATGCTGATAATTTAAATTTTCTCTATGAAGGAAAAAAGTTATAAAGTCTTGCAAACGTTATTACTTTCTTTTTCATGTATTATCGTTTTATTCTTTCCCCTTTCCAATATAGCATCGTACAAACTTCATTTCCATAAAACGTAACAATTCCTTCTCTTTCACCTTACTTCTCGCTTGAAGACGAAAAAGCAGAATCGACGAACTCCTGCTCGGCGAACATGTTACAAGGAAAAAGCCAAATCTCAGGGAAACAGTCTCCACGAGCATCTTCACCTGATGATTTCACGGACGATATATCACGCCTTTACAGATATTTCTCTGTTGTAAAGCGATTACTTAACGCGGTCGGTACACATAAATCCCATCGCGATTAGCTACAGGCTGTTTGCGAAGCGATCGGTCAATCAAAGCTTCCAACTATTAATCGACGAGTACAGAGAATGAGAACAACCGGTGGAAACAGAGGAAGATAGTCGCGCCCTAATGAATATTGATTCCCGAAGGTGGCAACACTCCACCGCCAGAAGAAACTGGATCAGAACGGAGGAATTTTACTCCCCGGCGACTGTAATGGGTCAGGCTCATCGGCCAGCATCGCGTAAGTAAGATAAATGATCCTCTAATATCTGTATTCCGCAACAGTTGCTGATGAGCAGACTGGAGCCTGGTAGAGAGAGATTCGAACCGCTTTCAAATTAAAATCTCGACCATTCTCACCTCGTAATTATGCAATCGATAGATCAAAATCGATCGGTTAAATTGATGGAAGAAAAAAGAAATAAAGCGCGTGTCTATGAAAGTTTATAAAATGATGGTCGGTTTAAGTTGTGTACGCGTATCGTTATTGGAAAAGTACATTTTCCAGGAAATTAGATTAGATGTAAAAGAATACAGGGTGCAAATTATTAATGGAAATGTATGAAATTATTATTACGAGAAGTATATAAAATAAAACATACGTATAAATGGCACACGATAAGGATAAAAATCAAATTTTAAAAGAAATAGTCTGACACATTTGTCTCCTATATTGCAATGTAACGAACATTTTTCGAACGATTGAAATGACTTTTCAGTGATAAAATTTAATTTGTATGAGTATGTATACATACATCTCATTTTGCAACTTTCTTTTCTTTAATTCATACGTAAGCTAGAATTATATTTCGCGCCTTACCATTATAATTTGGAAACTGTCTATATTAATGCTATTGCACATTTTGAAATATACATTAAATAAACGAGTAGAATTGCCATTGACTCGCATGCAGGATAATACAACAATAATCGTTTTATGGTACCGTTGTAAAGTCTACAGCTGAATCTGTTATCTAGGTCAAGCAGTAAAGAAATAAGTATAAACGATAAAAGCTCATGCGTACTCCGTCGAACAGAAAATGTTTAGATGAGATAGGTGGACAGAAACTCCCTTTTTGTGTCTCTTGATATGTACGAGATGAAAAGCAAATAATGGAAATAAGAAGCGAAAAATATTATTCCTGATCCATTCGTGTATTCTATATTTTGGTATCATTTCTTTATCGCAATTTTTGCAGTAGTTCATTCAAGTAAAAGCATGATTTTTCGCTGGTTCATGATTCTATAGAGACTGACATAATCTATCGAGAAATATTTTCGGTAACATTTATATATATTACATTTAACGATATTCCATTTTGTATACTATATACGAAAACATAAATTATGTTAATTAATTGACAGTAATTATTATTATTAAATATAAGAATATATAATAAATATTACCATATGTTATATATATAATATAACATATATTACAATATGTTATATTACCGTACTACTGAAATAAAAATTTTATTATTCATGGAAGAACTTACACTGAACTTGTGGGACCGTTGCGTCCTCTCCGATTTCGATGGTTTTTGAATATGTTAAAAGAAACAACTCTTTGAACAACTTTTTTCTATACATATAACCATCACTCTCACTCAATCTCTGAGATATTGGCGAAAAACTTGCTTTACCAGCAAATTGAATTCTGTGTCTGTTTATAAATGAGAGTCGGGTGAGCTTAAAGGCTCCGTGCACAACGTGCATATGCGAGGCTGCAAGAAACGTCTGTTATAATATGAGTTTATATCTCAATTAAAAGTAAAAATCATCAATGTGATTTGGATTGGGTTTGGGTTAGAATTTTCAATCCAGTCACTGCGATCGTTCTATTTCGTAAAATAGTATCAATTATTCGTTCACCTATTATTTTTATAATTAATTTGTTATTATTTCACATAAGCGTAACCAAAGTCAATACATTGTCAGTCAATTTTTAAGTGAATTATAACAAATGCTCGGGACTTTTAAGCTCGCCCGGCTTTCGTTTATAAACAGAGAATAAGCGGCAACCAATACTGACGCATACACTCCTACAAACGCACAACTATAGGCGGAAATACGCTGTGTGGTACCGGCAGTTTTACGCGAATATCTAGGAAACTAAAACCGACCGACGATTATACGTACAGGAAAAAATTACTCAAAATGTGGAGCTTTACAATATATTTAAAAATCATCGAAATCGGAGAGGGCGGGTCGAGATGACAACTTCTTTGACATCGGAAAATGATATTGCTTCAATTCAAATAAACTTTGATTAAAAACAGTACTTTTGCAATTATTTCCATAGAATTTTCGATATTGATAATAATTTAAGGAGAATACATCGTGCAGTAAGCTATAAATTTCTCGAGCTTGAATGAAATATAGACGAATATGCGTGATTCACGAATTAACACATTTCCATAAACGCCTACATCAAACCTAAAAATAAAATACAGTCATTTTATGACGAACTGCACCTATGATATTTGAAGTAATACGAAGAAGATATATATCGTTCTTAAACCCAGTGTCTGACGTAAAAAAAATTTTCAATCTTTAACATCTTTTAAATTATGCTCTTTAAGTGCAATAATGTTTTTAAATTTCTTTTGTAAATTAAATTTTTCTATTAAATGATAGCTACTTATTCTATTATTAGCTTTAATTAAATTATTTGGACTTCGTAAAAAGAATTCTCAATGCTAGATATCTTGCATCACTTTATATGCATCTCGTGTAAATTTCTCTCATAAAAAGTCGTCGAAATAATTATACAAACATAGAAACAAGAATGCAACATGATATCATCGATACAAATTGCAAGTGATGTCATCTCTCTAGCATGAGTTCTACATCATGCCTCGCATTTTCTATTATCTTTTCCGCATAAAACGAGAAAAGCATTTGTCAACGCGTTTGAGCCATCGTACTTGTGATAAACAAATAAATATAATTCAATGATATTTTTAAATCTTCAGCGTAAATTTACGCGTTCACTTTACTTAAAGCAACATATTACAATAATTATTATGACTATTATATTTCATACAAGCTAGAACCAAATTTATATTAAATGTCAGTTTATACATAATACATAATTAATAATAAATAATAAATAATAATTAATAATAAATAATAAATAATAAATAATAAATAATAAATAATAAATAATAAATAATTAATAATTAATAATAATAATAAATAATTACATTATAGTAGCCAAACATTAAGTTAGTGGTTAAGAATTATCACGCAATGATGCCTAAAAATCCTAGACTTGTAGAAGTTTCCTTTCTCTAAAGTTAATGTTGCAACAGCACCGCTTACCATCCCAAAGAAAAGAGAATTTATACATTTCAATTTCTAATAACTAGAAATTTTTCGATTTTTAGGGGAAATTTTTCGCATTACGATATAATTTATCTATCAATTACCATGTAGTTCATTGCTCATCAGCGAGTACGTGTTAGATAACTCAGTGAACATCAAAGTGCCATTCATATTTTCTCCTTTCTGCTTAATTAGATTTAATTCCGTTCGATCGCTTTAAACTCATTAACAGAACTCGGGAAAAGGAAACGCGATGTCGGGAACTAAGAGTTTTCCCGTACTTTGCTCAGACGTGGATCGCCTTTTATTGCGCTTCTTCGTTTCCTTCGAGTCTGATTTCTTCTACCTAATAACGCCAGTTCAACGTTCTTCTGTCTGGTACTTAAAAAATAAAGAACCAGCTTGTTTCATATCATACTACGAAAATGTAAATGATCACTCAATATATATATACATATATAATATATTATATTTCTCCGATAAAGGTATAGGTGTGCGATACATGTTAAAATTTCATTCGCATTGTAATGAGACATGCAAATCATAATTACATTGATATTTGAAACAAAGCTGAATACAATCACTCATCACAATTATCGATTTAATTCGAAACCATTCATGACGTACATTCACAACCTGTCTACGGTATCCAACTATGGGGAACAGCAAGTAATTCCAACATTGAAATACTTCAACGCTTCCAATCTAAAACGCTAAGATCCATTATAAATGCACCCTGGTATGTCACCAACGAACTAATTCATCGCAACCTCAAGATACTAACAGTCAAAGAGGAAATAGTAAAATATAGAGACAGATATAGCAAAAGAGTCAACAAACACCGAAACCCCCTAATTACTGGACTACTTGCTACGTCGGACCAGATCTGCAGGTTGAAAAAACACTACCCGCTAGACCTAAACGCTAGATTCAATTAGTTATCTAAATTAAGTAATATTTACTTATTTATAATACTTACTCATAAATTATACTTATCTATAATAAGTATTAACTTATTATAAATAATTAGCCATGTCACTGCACCATGCCAGAAAAAATTACTGAAAATTCTCAATGCGAGAATTGATTGTAAATTTTAATAAATAAATAAAAAAAAAATTCACAACCTGTATAAGAAAAATTCTACTAATATTCTATGGAAAAAATTACAATAATTTTAGATATCATTAACAGGTATTTGTTAACAAGTAGTGTTAATACTTTATTTTTCAGTCTGCCGGCCATGAAGATGATTCGGTTTACTGAATCATACATTCCTCTGATACATATATCTACACACTCTTATTAGACTGTTTCAATTTCCCAATATTTCATTCATGAAATTAATAATCCTCTACTACCATCAATCTCGATGAAACATATGCGATGAATAACATATTACATTTATACGAATTTAATCCGCTTTACAAACAATAGGATATAAAATATCATTATACAATATTTTATAACTGACATGATACATAATCCGTGATTTTCAAATTTGTAAGATAATAACTTACGATATTCTTTTATCCTCTAAACCACAATGATACTCACTTTAATTCGATTTATTTTCATAATTATTAACGTTTACTCCTACTTAAATCAGCACGCATTTCTTTCATTTCATCATAAATGTTAATTCTTAATATTCTGTCTCTTACGATTCTCTGCCAATCTTCTCGTGCGTCTCTCGCTCTGTCTCCCTATTCATATACTAATTCTAGTTTTCTAATTTAGAAATTATTTTCACCCTTTTTGTATATTTTATCTGTCTGGGGAAAACATTTCCTTAATTTAGTAGGAAATATTCTCTAGGAATTATTCTCTAACATATGATACTCCAAAAGTAAACCAAATAATTCTACAAAAATATATCTCGGTCATTGAACTCAAGCAAATTATTCTGATGTGCCCCAGCTATCTAGCTTTTAAAAAAATTAACAGCACCATCGTTCCATCTTGAACTTAACGAGGCCGAGAATCTTTTCTCACTTCGATTTTCCGGCTGAAAGTATGAGAAGCTATTCGTGTTGTCGGCTGATTCGACGGAAGAGGTCTCGTCCAAGATCTTCGTTTCGAATTGTTTGTCTCGACAAAATGCAAATGAAGAATAATTATCGTCTTGGATAAAGACATGTTGACATATAATTAAACACGAAAGGATGCGTAGAACACAAATACTACTTTTTCCATCATAAATTTGATACACGAAGATAGAAGATTAGAAAACGGAACTTTTCTTAAAAACTTAGGCGTATATATTATCGAGGTTTTTTTTTATTTAATTGTTTACATTCACAATTTGTCCAGTTTGGACATTTGGTAGAATTTTTTAGCTGTTAGATTATCATGTGGGTGGTTACCCCCAGTGGGATACCATCTCCGTGTAATATTATCGAGGTTCGCAGAAAAATTCCAAGCGACCAGAATATTTTATGTTATTATGTACAATAGCATTAATATTCAAACATTACGAACGATTTATATATAGTAATGTTATTGAGTTAGTTGTTCTTTAATATTTATGTTAAAACATCTATTACATTTAGTAGAACATTTACGATAATTAATATTTACATACTAGCCACATAAGGAACGTACATCCTTTATTAAACTGTTAATCGCTAGTAATTGCGTCAAACAGTAAAGCCGACTATTCCGAGAACAGCTGATGGATATCGTATGCTAATTTAATTAAATTAATTCTTAATGCTTCAGGGATTTTTCATCGAGCGAATATTATAAATAAAGCGAATCTTATGAATAAATATTACGAATGGACATGCAATTGCCATCAATTGTCTTCTTTTTATCTTTCTATCACATAATTATCTTTTGGAACTCCTACGTGCTTTTCCCTCGTTAAACGACAGAATATTTTGACAAAAATGTCCAATTTTTAAGCTGATATTTTCCCTGAAAAATTTCATGGACCGTTCGGCAATAAACAACAGCATTTAACAATAAATGAAACTGGAAGAAAACAGTGAAAGAAGAACATAAATTGCAATGAACAGAATTAATTACGCGAGCGGGTGGTCGCTAGTCCTAACGATCGACCACGAAAACCACAGATTTCTGGGGCGGTGTGCGGTAATTGTGCGAGTAAAATCGCATAAAATCCACGTGCTGACCAGAACCCAAGTAACGACATGTCGACAATGTGCCTGGCACAGGCTGCAGAGATGACCAGCTTGCGTGGAGGAGACCAACGTCGTTCGAAATCAGCTCCGAAACTTAACGAGAGGATACCACGATCTGTCTGTACGTATTATAATTTTTCTATCATATTTAGACGTTATGTACGTATATACGAGGTGACACTATTTCAAGTGGTACACGCAATTATCTCCCAAAAACTATTATTCATTATGCGAAAAAATGTTTCAAGCAAAGCTTAGCTTATTTCGAGTGGGGCATCTTGCGATGATCACAAATGTTATCTAGGTAGATGTATCTTGCAAATTTCAAAGTGATCCTTGTTTTTTTATGCATTTTTGCAGAACTATATGTTTTTGTGCAGATAAGTGTGTAACCTATTCCGTGACGAATTCATCGATCTATAATCTCTTACTTTTCAAGGTCATTCGAGATCGTTTGTTGCCTTCGACATCATCAAGTGACTTCGTTATCTCTCCCTAGAACCAAGGATAACAGAACTCAAGCAATCGCTACGAGCCTCGCAAGCAATCGAAGTCTTGCGTTTTCAGACATCACAATCGCAAGACGTCGGGACTGCTGGCCTACCACCATGCGGGTGAGGGCTTAAATTTATGGCACATTTAAGTGTTGACGCTTTTTCTTTCCCATAGCCGAAGGTCCGGCGGTAATTTGCGAAAGAAAGATGTTGATTCATTGATTGTTCAAGATGTTAATTTCTACAACATTTTGAAGCAGCTTACTAAATAATTACTAATTTTTGACAATCATAAAATGTCCTTCGAAATAAAGTAAGTTTTATAAATTTCAAACATTTTTTTGCATAGCGAGTATTTTAGGAGGTAATTACATGTATCACTCCAAATGGATCACACTGTATATATTACACTACAAAATAAAAGATTAGGCACACACATGCTGCATTGTATTTCATTAACTCCATACTTAAATGCAAACTGCAAGATTTAATATTTCATTATATTTTCATTGTGGCATCTTGTTTGGGTGATTTTATTATCTTTTCTAATGAAAACTATTGCAATGAAAACTATTCATATCATAAACTATTATTATCTTGGTTCCTGTATCTGAATAGTTTTCTTTTTTTCCAAAAACAAAACCTGTGACAATTTTCACAGCTTTTCGCTCACGAGCATCACACTCTATGCTCGTTCAACAAAAATTTGATGCAATCTTTTTATATCGAAAAACGCAAACCGGAAAAACAAAAACGGGCCAGACGTCATGGCTGGAAAAACATGAGATTTTGAATCGGTATTTTAAAAAGGAAAGAGAGACGCGTTGAAAACTATTTTATGCCACTCTCGTAGTTTTACTACCTGTTTTTATTTTTCTCGTTTTATACTCTTTTTTTGTTTTTTATATACTGTTACATGATTTAAAAGAGAATTTTATTACAAATAACACTATTTCTTCTAAACTTTGTATCGAACTATTTTACATCTAAATTATTCTCCGTTTAATATGCCATTTATGAACGCTGTATAACACATCGAAAACAAATCATTAAAAAAGGAAAACTATAGGTATATTATGATAGTACCGTTACAAAAAATGCTACTTATTTATTTATTCTGTCACATGTACCAGAAAACGCAAAAAGAAAAATCCTAAAATCAAAAACGCATGGAAATTGAATATTCAAATAGAAGTTTTTATACGAATTTAAAAGTAAAAATCTAAATGGCAGTAGAAGCTACACGGTATCGAATAAAAACTACGTTTTATTTCGGACTGTAGTGGTTTAAGTGACAAATGATATAAAAAAGAGATAAAAAATAATCTTTGTATTGGAAAATTGTGTACATAAATTCCACGATTTATAATTTATTTCATTTTCTAGGGATATTGCAATATAGCGTAAAATACTTCAATATAACATTACCTAATCTATGTACCTATTTTATATCATATGTCAAGAGCTAATCAGTCTAACACACTTTTTACCATATACATATTTCTTTCTGCTGACATTTCTCAAAGTAGAAATTATGCCATGAACTATAGAATTTATCATAGCAAATGATTAAAAGAAGCACCATTTTAAAGAGCCATGATCTTTAATTAAATGATATTTAATTAAATACAACATTTTGTCAATTGCCAACTGATTAAATTTTGTTCGAAACATCGTTTTATCAGATTAAGAGAAATGCTGACAGATTATGATCATAGTTACGATGAACATCCTGCATACGCATAAAAATTAACAAACGCGGGTTTTTATCCTTCATACTTTTTATTTTCTACCTACGTAATTTATCATTCACCAACTACCACGATATAATACCTGCAATATCGCTATAACAGTTTTCCCAAAAGGTATCTCGCTCGAACAAACAATTATAATCAGATAATAATCAGACAGACGAAGGACGATTCGCCGTGCTAAAGTTAGGCAAGCCAAATGAACTAATATCGAATGTTAAGAGCAAGACAAGAGCCAGGGATAGAAACACCACCAGATTTTCCACCAGCTATAATATCAGTGGTCGCGTAGTCAAGTTATTCTGGTACACGCCCACACGGTACACTGTGTATATTAGAATGTATATAGCGCCACGTGCTAATTATACCAACAAACGAACAACACGCTGCATGCTTTGTACGAGTCGATAATACAAGCGCGTTTGTCTTTTCACGATTAAAGAGACTAAGACCATGAACATACAAAGAACCGTAAACGGTAAGCAGTAAGCGGTAAGTGGCAAAATTGGCATTTGGTGCCGAGCTCGGTACCTGACTCGATTCCAGTTGTGTTATACCTGAACGTTCGCGATAAATCAATCGATGTCGACAGTGCGAACAGTTGCGAATGACACGAACCGGGAAGTTTGCCTCCCCATCGTGTTGATCAAAAATCGCAACTTTCTTTTAAAATCCACACCGGTCGTGAAGTGATTAAAGTTTCTGTTTGAATTGACTTGGGCCGCGCTAGGTAACTACTTTTAATTAAAAGAAAAGTAAGAACGCCTCTTGATCCGTGAGAAGGGAAGGCGGGAAAGAGTTCTTCATTGTTGCACGCTGATCACTGTTCAACAAGAATGGAACTCGGGGAAATTCCTTTTTTCATTTGATCAAGGATTACGACGCTACTTGTGTCCAATTTTTAATATTGAGAAAACTATCTAATTTGTTGGATTTGTTGGATAGATAGAAATTATTATTAATGATCGTTAGAAGGGATGAATCAGGAAAGCCGATCGATAGATAATTTTCATAATTGACTTTATAGATTGTTAACTAATTCTCATTCTAACGTTCTCGTCGTATTTCGTTACGTATTTGGATACTTAAATTTTATTAAATCGGATCGAATTTCAATGACAATATGTCGAGTAAAAACTGTATTGTTAATCACGATTGATAATCAAATATTTCAATATTAATTGTCGGTTATTAATTGCACTGAATAATTCCAACACTGTTTTTGGAATGTGATTTTCCTGCTCTTACGCATATGTGGGAAACCGAAATTTTGTACAATACGCACGATAACAGGATTGATGGTATGATGAAGAGAAAAGGTAATTGCTTGCGCAGAAATAAATCGAAAATGTGGGGCGACAATTTTTGCAGAAGATTGGCTGAAAGTTTGAATAATCCACCTACACATATTCGTTGACGAATATATCTTTTCGTAATTCGGCATTTCTATTTAAAAAGGTTCATAAAAATTCAAACTTAATTCACTTCCTACGCAACCGTATTTTATACGCAAAAGTAGAGGCAGACAGACAGGATGATTTTATCGTTTCAACGAAGCTTCGTAAAAATCGCGGGCGCATTCGATTAAATTTATTTCGTAATTCTCAACGTAGACATACACAAGTAGGATTACAAATTGTACGACGTTTCTTCGGTTTAAACGTAAATTTATATCTGTATGTCATTACTATGCAACTCGAG